ATTTATGTTGGGCGCGCGTGTGCTCGAGGTCCTGCACATGCACATAGTGCATTGTTGTACAAAAGATCAGTAAGTTTAAAATGAATTACCATGGCAATTCATTGGTCTTCAATAAATACGCCAGTAAAATTGAAATTAGCGCATTATATTAAGAAGTGGATATAACAATGCTTTTGGCACTAATAAAAAGAGTGTAATAACAAAACATCTGAAGAGCTTGATTGATTGAGCTAATTAATTCTTCAGAATTTCGTTAAAAATGAGTATTAAATGGAGTTAGAGTTTGCATTGCACGTAATACAAAATATAATAAGCCACGTAAGTCACATATTTTCCAGTCGCTTGCAAAATTATTGCAGCCATTCTTTTATGAAAGGCGTTGATAAAGTATGTAAAGTACAGATAACATAGAAATATTAAGGAGTGGTAATCAAGCTTAAAAAAACTGTAACATAATGTGCTTATTGGACTGTTATTTTGTTTTATTTTAGTATTTATTGCAATACAAGATGTTAATAAATCTTTCATCTTGTAAAACAGGGGTGAGCAAGGTTTTTGAACCAGTGGCCAAAAATTTTGGTCACTTAGACTGGCGGGCCATGTAAATGTGACGTGAAAAGTTACATTTTATGAACAATATTTACTTACAGTGTTACAAAGCAAAGGTGGAGAACGATAAGCCTCGTGCCTTAACCGCAATCTCAACAAATTCCTTGGGCTATTTTGGCTGAAACAGCAAAATTTGATTTCAGTTTGTTGTGGCAGCATCAGGCGGGCCTGGTTGAATTATACCAACGGGCCTGATTTGTCCCGCGGTCCGTACTTTGTCCATGTCTGGTGTAAAACATACTATACATCTCTTTCACAAATTTTTATCATTTTATCGCTTATTGTCAAGATTTACCAGAAATTTCCCACAGGTTCTTATTTTCTATTTCTTGGGAATGTTTGATGCTTGTGAATATTGATAAAGCTCCATGCACACAATAAATGCGTAGTATAGCCTCGGGGAAATCACGAAACAATTTTTTCACTTCAATTTCGAATGTCATGTTGTGCTTCCCTGTGGACGGGTTTAGTAACATCGTTTTATACATAGTGTTCATTAGCCACTCAATGTGAGTGAGGAGTTCAGGTATTTTTACATAAGCAAAGAATTGGACATATTGTATAAAGTATTTGGATACAAACTGAAATTTTCCAATCAGTATATATTGGAGGTTTGAGATCGAAATGAGAAATACTGCAGATTTAGTTTATAGATTTCTTTATAAAAACTAATACAAAGAGTCTAGAAATGAGTGACATGTTGACATCCATGCTATGTAACCAAAAATCAAAAACTGCCATCAAGCTAAAACGCCTTGTGGGGCGCTGATGGCGATTTGGGCAATTGGGGGGCGCTGGATGTTAAACTGGGCAATTGGGGGGCGCTGACATCAATACGGGAACTCAAAAGAAGTGTGATAGTTTATGTAATTTACTCCTATGTTTTGGTTCAAACTAGTTTGCTTGTGATTTCGGTGTTGGAAATTTCTCGCTAAACGTAGAACAGATATTATGACCTTTTTTTCAGATCCGTTTTGTTTCATAATATTACTAGTCTAGCGCATACGGCATACGCTTCCTTCACCATGCACTGCAAGTTTTGTTGTACTGTTGTGAATAACAGCTTCATTTTACTATTGTGTTCTATAGTGTTTCAAGCGGCAGTTAAGTACAACATCCTTCATATTATAATTTTGGTTTTGTTAAGAGCAACACGTGAGAGCTGGGCATCTGATTGAACTGACGCCCGCCAAATAGGACCATCTCCAGGTTGCGACTTAACAGATTCATTTCTATTTCTTGAGTCATTGAATAATAAGGCTACATAAGTAATACACAAATTGGCAAACGGCAAAGACCTAGCCTGTTGTTAAATCATGTTGTGACTGAAATTGTTTGATGTCGGTGTATCATTTGTGTTGCGTAAGTTCAAAATATCGAATACAGTGACTGAAGCAGCATATTTAAACTGATTTATATCAAAAACTGTATTATACATCGTGGTCTCCAAAAAACTTAGCCATCAAATTCTCGATTACTTCTACAAAAATAAAGTAATTATTCATTTTTGTCTAAGCTTGAACTAATGTTTGTGTATGTTTGTACCCAAAATTGTCGGAAAATCTAGGACGTTTTGCACAAAAATATGTTGTTCCTAGAATATATATGTTCCAAATGCCCTCATCGGTATTGAAGAAAGAATTTCATTCTTTTTGCAACATTGTCAATCACTCTTCTTTGGGCATTTATTTTATTTTTTTTCTGCGATTGCAGCCTTGAGTTCACTACTCGTTTGAGGATTGTCCTGATACAAAGGTCCCACGAACACCCTACCTATCAAAAGGTTTCAATACGATAATTGGGGTGCCCACGGGATGTCATTGCTGTCTTTTCTCTCAGAAAAGCAAGCGTCTGATTCTATGTATGGGGCGTCGCCTCGTTATGCTGGAACCACTGCTGGTCACCTCTATCAATTTCAAGTTTTTTTCTTGGCACAACTACGTAATGTTCTGTATTCACCGTTTGAACTCTTTCATTTCCATGTCCTGCGCTTCAGCAGAAAACTAAGTGGTTGAAAATTTTCCAAAACTTCTGAGAAAATCATACGCAAACAGAAGTTCAAGCGCAAATAAATAATTTTTTTGAAGATAGTTAAAAAAATTTTGGTTTTCATTTTCTAGATAACCCCGAATTTTTAGAAGCGAACATGCACCACTATCATTGGGTTTATACTTTGAACCCACGTTCAGTCTTTCAGTATTCCATCTTTTTGGAAACACAATCAAATTGAAATATCCTCACCTGCGAGATCGGGTTAAATATTGCTCTTGCCAGCTCATTATTGGTAGAGCATGTATTTAGGGCAGTGACAGCACTTTTACATATATCAAGAGAGATTTCCTCGATAGTGTCAGACGAGGAGACTCAAAACTTGTTTTTGACTGAAATGAAGCCAGATATCATCAAACTAGTGGCACTTCACTAGGCTCAATCTTCACATTATACTAATAATAAATGGAGAATAAAGTTGCTTTGACTTTTTTTTTTATCAGGGGGGCGTTTACTAGTTAAAAAGTCATCCAAGGGGGCGCTGGCAAAAAAAAGTTTGGAAAACACTGAGCTAAAACTTAGGAGTCAAGTATTTTTATTTTTCTCAATGTCATCCAAGGATAAAATTTCGAGCCAAACAAAAATTTGAACATGCTTTGATCATGCGTTGAAAAATATTTCATTTCTAACTCCATGATAGCTAAAGTTTACAACGAAAACCTTCTGTTTTCGCAAGCTTTTCTCATATTTCGACTCTGCACTCCTGAAAATGCAGTTAAAATATAATTTTTTTTTTTAAAAACTCAATCAAACAGCCAAGCAGGCATATGCTTATAATGTAACCGCACAATTTGAGTATATTTTCAACTCTTTTACTCATGATTCATTATATATTTGAACTTTACACAGCGTATTTTGTAGATCAGCGTTTCCCAAACTGTGTTCCGCGAGAGCCTTCCGTGTGTTCCGTGGAAAAGGGTCGAAATTACGACTAAATTGGTCACCATGGCGATTTCGGGATCGTTAAGGTGTCGCCCAACTCGCGACCGTCGCGTCACAGTCGGCCTAAAGCGGACTAACTTTTTGACGGTAGTGGCATTTTCGTTAACCGTCGGTCCAGCTTTTTGACTGTCAAAGTTCATTATCCAGTTTACAGCAATCTTCTCAGTTTTGCTATAGGCAAATGTGTAGGCCTAAAGAATAAAGGCAAAATGTCAACTATTCTTGCTCCATCTCTGCCTGGTTTTGATTTGAAATGCTGAAAAAATCACTCATGTTCTGAACTCGATTTAGCAGATAAATATACTGCAGCTCACGAAATTGCAGCAAGTATTATCTCCATTGTTACGTAACATTAGAAGCAAACACTTCGTAATTGAAAGTAAACGACATAGAAAAGTAAAGTTAAATTAGTGATTCATATACACAGCATTTGAAATAGGAAACAATAAATCATTTATAATAAATGCATTATGTAAAATATACAATCATATTTAGGTTATGTTTAACACAATTCTGTTAGTTTTCGCGGCTCATTTGGCAACTCGCGGCACCCTTTAGGAATCGCTGCATAACTATTTTTCTCTAAATTTTGCCCTTTTATTTTTTGGTGTTTCGTGAGGCGAGATAAAAAGCGTAAGTGTTCCGTGACCAAATAAGTTAGGGAAACGCTGTGTAGATAATTAATCAACCGTTATTTTGCCATCCGTAGCACTGACTTTCCTCTATAGAGAGTTTTATAAAGTTTCAAGTTAAAACATTTCAGTGAAGGCGAGAACGGCGATTTTCAAGAAAGTTCCATAAAATAGTTAGATATTTGGGAAAAGTTTTATGCTATTGCGAGTATAACATTGTAGAAGAATATTCATGGTTTAGGCTTGCGGCAGTATAATAAATAAATGATTAAAATTGAATGAAAAATAAAGATTAAAAAGGAACATATATATATTATGCTTTGGACTGAGCTAATTTATTGCTCTTGAGATGCTGATGATCCTTTTGTTATTGCTTGGACAAAAAACGTCTCTGCCATAAACACTAAACTAAAGTAAAATACATCTTATATATATTAGTAAATATCACTTTGGGATTTCTGAGAAGCTTTGTATTGTTCTATAGTTTGCTTATTTTCCTCTGATCTATCTCCTTCTCCGTGAACGTAGAATATTTTCATGACAGTCGTGTATCGGATACGGAATGTGTGTCCATATTTGAAAATTTGTTTTCTTTTCGATAGGTTCAATTTCTGAGGAATTTTCTTCCTGAGCGTCGAAGCGCTATAACTGTATATTACTTGCATCTAAAATGTATATAGTATGTGTATTCATTTCAAATAGAGTGAACATTTAAAAATTAAACAATCACTATCATATGTACATTTTTATATTTCTAGATAATTCTTTTTGACTACAATAGCTACTAGTTGACTTTAGTATACAATTTATGACATAAGAAAATGAATATCGACGAAGCATTCCATCAATTGGGGAAGTGGGGACGTTATCAATCAGTGATTTTTATCATTGTGTTTGCCGCTTCCTTACCAAATGCTTTTACGACGATGCAGTTCGCCATCAACCATTTCCAACCAAGCCATCGATGTAGACTATCTGATGAAATTGAAAACATATTGAAAAACGTAAGTTCCGACATGTGACATACAATCATTGATGAGCAAATCTCGTTATTGAGCAACGAATTTTATTTGCCCTATAGGATTAAACTTGCCTTTTGACAGAATTGAAATTCAAGAAGTACAGAAATGTTATAAATTGCATACCAATTTGACTTAATATTTTTTTTTGTTCCCACACAAGCAACTTCGATAAATGACTGAATCTTTTTCTCAGAACTCAAACAGTGTTGAAAATCTGCTCGACTATTTTATACCCATGGAAACCAATAATTACGGAAAATTAAGTAAAAGTAAATGCCACATGTATCACAGAAATTATTCTACAGCACTCTCTCTTATAAACCTCAATGAATCTGTCGACATCATACCATGTACGAATGGATACATATTTGATATGTTGCCGAATCATGATACTGCAGTTACTGAGGTATGTGATATTTGTTTTGAATTTGGCATTTTCTTCTATTTGTGATTGACTTCTTTTATTCGTACTTTTCATGTACTCAACTTTAAAATTTAATTTCTATATTCTGATATCCAGTTTGAAATGATTTGCAACAATGACTGGAAATCACCACTAGCAATTACAGTTTTTCAATCGGGAATGGCAAGTGGATCAATAGCTGGCATACTTGCTGACAGGTATTTTCGTTGTTCTGCCAACGAGCACTAGATCGAAAATATTAACCACTCGAGGAATAACTTCATTTAAAGGACTGCTATAATTTCCCTTACTAGACTATGTGGTGTAAATAATATCGTGTAATCGACCAATAATATATTGCCAAATTTTGAAGGTATGGTAGACGGCCAGTGTACTTGTTTGCCACTTTGGCTCAGATAATATCCATGGCTATTACGGCTGCTTCTTGGGATTTCTATTCATATTTGGTTGCTGTATATTTTGGTGGGATGACGGGACTTATCAATTACGTCGTTGCTTTTGTACTAGGTAAGATTTATTTCTGAGCATGCATCAGTGTGTTTGTACTTTTTTTTTTGGTATTAAAATTTCACAATATTTTTTTTTTATAGTGACCGAAGTTATTTCGATTAAGTCAAGAAATTTCATGGCTGTTGGTTCAATGTATTCATATTCCGTTGGATATGCTACCTTTGATTGGATATTATGCGCAAAACTGGCGTGCTTACATATGGGTATCCATGGTACTCAGTGTCTTTCTATATCTACCGGGCTACTGGTATGTATGTCTGTACTATGTAAGACTCGACAATTTATCATTATTTATTTTGTATTATAATTTAACATTCAGCTCTTCTTCTATTTCAACCATTGTAAATGTATGTTTAAACGTTCGTAACTGTTAATCCTTATTTTCCTATCTTTTTAATATCACTTTTTCAAGCAATATGGAGTCTGGGGAATGTTTCATCCTCTTCATATCAGAGTTATCTTAAAACCCTACAATTGTACCATGCCTAAATTCAATTCTTGATCTTATTCCATTTCGAATTTAAAACAAAACAGCCGACTTAAAATCGCCAAATTTTGTTTTTTTTTACACAATATCCCAAACATTAGCACAAAAACATTTCATATGAAAGTATAAAAGTAGCGATTAATAACATGAAATCAGTTCAACTTTAAAATCATCACAGTGTTTTTTTGCACGTTTTCATAATATCTTGCAGGTTTTTCCCGAATCACCACGTTGGCTATCAACAGTTGGTAGAACAAATGCTGCAATCGCAGGACTGAACAAAATGGCAAAGATGAACCGAAAGAAGGTTGATTTCGAAAGATTGAGAAAAGTACTGTAGTTTATTATTTATTTATTACTAATAATTATCAACGCATGAAAAGCTCGTTATTTTACGAAACTTTGTACTTTAAGACACATATAGCTGATTCTCGCGAAATACCGGCATCACCCATGGGGCTAATAGAGACGCTTCGCATAATTTTCAAATCTGCATTAACCTACAGATTCCTGTCAGCTTTTTTTGCATGGTAAGTAAAATATTTTGTTCACAGAATAATGAATATTGTCATGGATGCATTGTCATGGCGTCCGAGGATGGAAGTTCAAGCAGAAATAAAAAAAAAAAAGGATTTTTGCACAAAAAAGTCACTGATGTCACATCACTTTTAAGTTGTTGAAGGAAAGGACTAGTAAATGTCCGGTTTGAGATATTCAAGGATTCGTCTTTGCAATAGAATTTTAATTTATTTAATACCACATAATATTAATTTGCTTTATATTTTCTCAAGGTTCGTGACAGGTCTCGTTTACTATGCAATAGCGTTCCACTCAAAAAGCTTCAGTGATGATCGCTACCTGAATATATTGTATTGCGCACTTGCTGAAATTCCTGCATATGTTTGTGGTTATTATGCTGTTAACATGATCGGTCGCCCAAGATGCACTACTTTTTTTCTGCTAACTTGCGGAATTTTCACCATTATTTTGCCATATTTGCCTGAAGGTTAGATTTTTTTTACTTTTTTTCCGAATAAATACTTTTACTAGGTTGGCATTGCGTATGTGGCTGTATAAACAAACGTTCCACTGTAGGCAGCATTCACACAACGAGCTGCGTTCTTGTTTGGAAAACAATCCATTGGCGACGAATTTTGCGCAAGAAAAAACGATATCCGACTTTATAGTCCCAACCATGAAATATCTGTAATTAAAAATGCGTATGAAATCAACTATGTGATGTTTTGATTAATTGTTGAATGATGATGATTGCTTTGTGGCTGAGTTTTGGTTGTTGTGAAGCGCATGAGTGAACCAAAGCGAATCGAATATTCGAATATCAAAGTATTCAAATACTTTTTCGGCTAATTTTTGAATAATTCAGAATAATACCCACTTTTCGTCGTCAGCACGGTATTTCGTAAACGAATATTGACGCTTTGTCACGTATTGTAATGACGATAAAATGGAATCGGCACTCTGATTGTTTATCTTCTGTGCGAGCGTGCGCCGCATATTGTTATGACAACTTTGTAAAAATTGAAATTTATGTAAAGCCGTAGTTGTTACGATACCAAATATTTAAGTCCATGACCAATAAAAGCATTTAAAATGCCTTATCGTATTAATTTAATTTTGTTCAATGTAACTCATGGTTGCGTCGATTTACGAAGAAATAAAAAAAAATTACTAATCCACAATATCACAGCAATCTGCGGACATAAATTGCCATGGTAAATAGCCAAGTTGTCGATAACAGTTATTCCATTGTTTATATGCAAATTTCATCACACACTAATTTAAGCTTCTTTTACTTGATTTTATTTTCGAAATCTATAATATTTCATATTCGAAAATAATAATTTCGAATGTAAACAAAATAGTTTCCAGAGATTAAATGCATTAATTTTCAAATTGAAGATTAAAAAATTAAGTATCCCATGAAATCAATTTGAGAATGATTTTCTTCTCCAGTTTTTCTGATTCGTTGCAATTAAAAAGTAATTCCTCTCAATTACATATGGATGATTGAGAATCAATACCTGAAAGCTCAAACCCGACAGTTGTCTCGATCGAAAACTGTTTGCGTCAGTTAGCATATTAAAGTATCTAATAAAAAGTCTTTACTAAATTCACTATGACTATATTCTTCATTTTTAGAACTATCCCTGCTCAGAACAATAATCTCAATAATCGGGAAAGGTGCCGTAAGCGCAGTATTTTATATCATCTTCTTGAGCACGTCCGAAATAGCCCCCACTTTACAAAGAAGTGCATCAATGAGCATAGCATCTTTCTGTTGTCGTGTTGGAGCGTTTATCGCGCCATTTGTAATGTTTTTGAGTAAGTACAGCAATATCGTAGTATATGATGATGTTTTCCAAAATTCGACTTGGTTCAGCTTTTTATTAAATATAGTTTTTGTAGTTCTGAATTACCATGATCTTTACTTATACTATTTCTCTCTGCCCGACGTTTGTACGTGATGACATAATATGTAAATCTACTCCACTGGTTTGATCGAACTGATTTTTACTTATTATGCACTATAAGTAACAGAATATACGCAATTTAATTTCAACAGATAAAATTGAATACTCCATACCTTATTGGATAATGGGGGGGATAACTATTTTGAGTGGAATTATTGTTATCATTTGCATTCCGGAAACACTCGGAGTGAAAATGCCAGATACAATCCAGCAAGCTGAGAATAACAAAAGGTATCTGATTATGATCTGCTTAGGTATTCATAATGAGTGTAATTGGTAATGTATTTACATTATTTTATTTTAAGTTAGATTAAAGATTGCGTAATTCCAGCCGATGTGGTAGATTGGACTTTTAACCAAATTTTGACAAATATTTTACAGATTCTATGGTTTCAATATATTTCAAAATTCACGCCAACTACAGACAATAATCGAAGGATGATAATTATCTGATGAAAGAATTGCAACTTCGTAAACGATTGCCATCATGATTTATTTTCTTTGAACTATTTGAGTTTGGAAATTTAGTGATTTGGATAATGGCGATATTGTACGTCTTCTGAGGAATAAGAAATAAATTTACTGGCTCATATTTTACACTAATTTATACTTTCATGTAAAAATTAGAGATAGAAAAATACCAAACAATATAACGTTTGTTTACTCATGGCTAAGATATGTACTTTGGTTTAATTATTTTTATTATTAAATATTGCATTCATTTCTTCAATGACATTATTGACTACGAACTAGTAAAATTTCAATCCCTCAACTTAACATATGATATTATGACAATACTTTAGGCTTCCACCACCTCAAAGTTTTGAATGCAAGAATCTGGCTTCAGTGCCAGAAATTATTTCTAATCATCATTTAATCAAATGAGAAAGTAAAAAGTGATATTTTATCACTTGGTGTAAAATTTCTACTATTTTCTAATGCTTATTGAATAAATTTATTCTTACCGATAGCATTTAAAATAAATGATATGATTTGGCAAACATCTTAAACATATAAGTTTGAGAACCAATAGCCCGTCTATCATGTGTCCGACTTGGGAGTATTTTTGTTTGAACAATTCCGCTATTAACCCTGCTTGACGATTTTTTTAAGTAAACAAATTACTTTCATTGTCGAACTAAAGTATATACCTCCAAGCTATAGCATTTTTTAATTGAAAAATAATTCGATAATTTATATCCAACACGCACTCATGGCGATGCACCACTTTGAGATAGTGAACAACTAAAATATATTATTAGCGCATACTCAGGTCCAAGTGTAAAGCGGAAAAATTCAGCTAGCTCGGGAAGATCATTAGAATGAAAATTGTGAATTACTTTTCATCCTTTTTTTTGACAGTGGTTATTTGGCAAATTTTGAAAAATAAAGAAAGAATAGACTGAAACGAATTTTGTTCCTCCTAACTAATTTGTTAGTTGTTGCTGACTAATTTGGTTATATATTGGACTCTTAAATCTAGATTCTAGCTAGATGATATAAAAATATATAAATCAGAAGACGCACGGCTCATTAAGTATTTATTGTCGAAAAAAGAAAGCTCTTAATATATAATAGAATCAGGGAGAAAGATCAGGGATAGCTGTTAGAACCTCTGTGATTGAAATGCCACAAATTGGTCGAATCTACACCATCTATATTATACCCCAAAATAACGTATAAGAATTAAAGATACGTGGAATGACACAAAAACGATTAGTAAAATGATATAAAAACTCAGAAGTTGGCACAAAATATGTTATTAAAATATGTTAACCAGAAAAGGCACTTAGTCCGATGACAATGTTTCCGCTTATAAAGTTTTAGTTACGCTCTGGTTTTAACCCTTTCGTTATTTTCGTTGTTCCACAAAAACAAATACACTTGCTGGGATTGGTTGGCGGACACACCCACTAACCCAGGGGTTTCCAACACGCGGCCCGCCAGACAATTTTTTGCGGCCCGCGCCATGATTAAGATATCCAGAATAAACTAAATTAGTATGACGTTAACAATGAATTTTATCGTGTTCGTATTTTATCGTGGGAAGTGTGCAGTTATGAATCATTAATTCTGTATGTGTGCAGTTAACGCAACTAGAATATTATAAAAAAAATCTAAGTAGTAGACCCATACGCAGTTCCCAAGAAGTGTAAATGTTCGGAAAAGCACAGAATATTGTGAAATTATAATATCAAGGTTCAGTGTTTTCTGTGTTGTGCAATTATTGCTGTTCAAAAGAAATACAACATCCGGCGATATTACGACTCATTACACAGGGGAAAATACCACGTGAATACTGAAACAATTTGTCACGAAAAGGTATCGCAATTAAAATGTTCACTTTTGAAACAGAAATTTTTTTCCGGACGAACAAAACTTTGTGAAGCTTCGGTGAAAGCAATCTTTGCCATAAGTGGGATGATTTCAAAATCGTCGCGTTCTTTCGTTGAAGGAAGCTCTAATGAAAGAGTGTATGTTGAAGGCTTGTGAAGTAACAGCAGCATTTTTTTCAACAATGAAAGTTAACAAATCAGCCTTTCGCACACGACTAACGAACAAGAGTTTGTATGCTGTCTCTAGACTAGCAAACCAACGCTAAATCGAGTCGCTCACCTCTACAAGATGGTGCCAAATGCCCAACACAACTAAATGAATATGTTTAATGTCTTGTTTGGTGAAAGATTCAAGTGCAATTTAAACAAATATATTCAGATTTCATTTGTTTCTTTTATGTGTACCTAATTTGTTGGTTTGCGGCCCGCGTCGTCATTAAATTTCAAAAAGTGGCCCGCGACATGTTTTGAGTTGGAGACCCCTGCACTAACCTATCAAACTGCCCGTTCCCTGACTACTACATGTAACACGAGCGTTTTTTTCATCCTCAATAGTTTAAGAATGTCTTGGCAAGAACAAGTAGGTTGGAAATGTTTATGTGCAGATCGGAAACTGAGCATGTTTGACGACAAAATTTTGTACGATAACTTAATTATTGATGAAAATAAAAATATGGCCGTAGTTGGTAGTTTCAGATCTGAAACAATGCTAGAATCGTGTTCTTTTCATTGCTTTGGTAATTGGGCGATTGACTCATATGTAAATGCTGTTGACAAACAGCATCATGAAATTATGGGATGGCGATATTTAACGGTATTAATTTTAGGGAAGTATTTCACTTTCTTTATTTCGCTAAGAGGTCGTACAATTCATAGAGGATTTCCCTTCAGTAGTTTATTTAGACAACTAGACCTACATGCATTTAGTCCCAAAATACTTGAAGTTGAAAAAAAAATTGTTTTTTAACTATTTTTCAATTTTTTGAAAATATTTGCGTAATTTCATGAAAATCAGCAAATGGGTCTTGTATCTTGCATTCACCAGGACAGGTATTGGAAGCATTAGATAAAAATATATGCTGGAATTCGAATGCGCCTGAGAGGGAGGCTCGCGTTACATGCATGGGCGTGTCAAACTTTTCTGCTACCCGGGGCGAGTTTCTGATAATGATACCCCTCATACCTAACTTTAGAAACAATACGAGGGATGAACAAATTATTAGATGTTGCTATATAGGAGAATGAATCAATCAAAGGTCATGTAAGAGTCAAATGTTTGTATTGTTATCTTTCCAATCATCAAATCATGCCACAAACTCACCCCTATAACGTGCTGCACTGAGCGGCCGCTCCTATGGGCCCCCACCTAGACACTCCCCGGGCTACATGTTACACGCAACTTTAGATGTGGCCCTTTCCCAATCCGCTGTTTTTGGTGAAAATTTAATGTCTTACCTTGTAGAACAGACCAAATTGTATTCAGTACGAAAAGTCGGACTTACGATTTATACCAAGGGTCGGCAAACTTTTGTTGCTCGCGGGCCAAAGTAAGGGTTGCAAGTCATTGGTGGGCCGCATATATTTTTAGAGAGGTTGAAAACCGAACGGATGATACTTTTTATAATAAAAATCAAGCATGCAGTGATACATCTCTCGAAAAGAATATATATATATATTTTTCCTTGCATTGCATTTCCCAAAATTCCATTTGAATATTTTCGGCATTAGCATCAACTTTTCTGCGTTTTGTTGCCATTTGTCCAATTATAATTAAATTATAGGCTCACTAAACGAGTAATTGTGAATTTTATATTTGTTAGATTGCAATATAATTTAGTCTACATGTGTCATCGTTATCAATGTACCCATCTTATCATGACTATCCAATAGATCTCAATTGATATTAATAAATTTGGACATTTTCTATCCACAAAAAAAATCTGTAATAGCAGATTTTGTTCGTCGTGTGGACACGTATAGCGATAATTTAAGCTCAGAGTAGGGAAGAAATTGGTTTGAAATGTTTTTTCATGAACTGGAAAAAGGAGTTTTTTTCGGGACTCAGAGAACATATAGCCCAATTCGTTGTAGAGTTGATTAATGTTATTGTTTATTAGTAGTAGTTTCATTGCGGTGGGGGTTTCAAGAAATTTGCTCATCACTTTTCTTTCATGATGTTGTTCCCAAACAACATCACAGAACCCCACGATGACGTCATCAACACGTCATCATTTTCAGTATATATGTTATTGACATCGTTAATACTTCATTTCAATACAAAATAGTTTTTTAGTTGTTAACGAAAAAGTCATGAATAAAAGGGTTAACTGTTCAAAACGTCGGGGTTCGACGGAAGCTTGCAAAATAACGCAGGGGTTTGACACGTTTGCAAAGGCGAAGAACCACTCTAGTAAGGTAATAAAGATAGAACACAATTTGCCTGGGATTGTTAAAATAATAGAGAAATATAAATGGCCAAAAATGTGATGCGTGTGAGGTCAGATTTAACAAATATTCTGGTTTATTTTACATTCTCTCTGTGTTTCATACCCAACGTCTTTAAATGTTTATATGCGGATTGATTAGCAGCTTTCACTTCTAGAAGATAGCTCCTCGATATTTAGTTTTAAGAAAAGGCAGTGAAATCAGTTTAAGGTCAAGTGTGATGGTTTGTTCTCGATTAGTGGAATTAGGAGAGTTACCATTTGCTGTGAGGGGTCAATATTCGTTACGAATTTATTTTTAATCTGTTCGCATTCCGTTAGTTCCATTTCTCTAACGTAGGTAATATTATCTCCAAAGAGGAAAAGGGGTTAATTTTCTTCAACCGCGTTTGTTTCCGGTATTATATTATCAAGCTCATGTTGTGTGTCAGTTGTCTAACTGTGCAAAAAAATAATAATAAACAGCATGGAGATAGATTTACTGAACGCGATAAATAAAATATAAATAATAATTTATAATATTTATAATAATTTTTATAATAATTCATAAATAAAGTAAACCCAATTTAACATATGAAAAACCTGTTTCGGTTCAAAAGCATGGTACAGCAGAAACATATAAAAATACCTCAGAAGCGACTGTAGCAAAAAATTCACTCTCAAATGATCTTCGATATCTAATATGACGAAATAGAATGAACTATTTGTCCTTTCTTATTTTGTTCATTTTATTAACTCCATATTTAGATATATCTTTTGAATGTTTCGTTTTTTAATGTGATGATTTTAGATGTTTCTGAGGTCAAACTAGAAGTTTTTAGTCTAGCAAAAGTGTAGCCTTGTGTCGTTCAACAGTTTGATTTGCCTTGGATTAGTTTATACCTTAGGGTTGCGCGTATCGTGAATCTCTCATATCAATTTAGCTCAGGTCCTATTAGGTGTTAGCAATTGTATCATTACTTATCGATTTTAATCGGTAGGTATGTTGATAGGTATTTGTCTGTCTGTATGTTTGTTTCTGTTTGTCTGTTAGATGCACGCGATATCTCACGAAAGCGAGATTGAATCTGTTCCAGATTTTGCATGTGCATTCATCTTTTCTCGAACCAGAAGCCTATTGATTTTGGGCGAATTATGTCGTATAATTAGCGAGTTATTAATTAATTAGTGATGGCACACAGGGTGTCACTATGAAGTAAGAGCGCTGTTTTGGGGGATCCCCTAACTTTCGATCGATAAGTCTTCGGTCTCTGACCGATATTCTCGTTATTTTATTGCTCATTTCTCATTTGTAGTGCATCCGTATCGTTATACATTAGTTTTATCGTTAGTGTTCAAGTTTCTATGCTGTAGCAACATTTTACTCGTTTCTTGACAATTGATGAATACAGTTCGCTTTCTAAGTATCTCGTTGCCTTTTTACTACTTTGGATGTGCAGTTACTAGAGACTGGGAGATTGCGCATAATTCTACAAGACTGGTACGGGTGCAAAATAGGACTCCACTACAACAAAGTTGAGTTGGTTGGGATTCATATTCCAACTTTACAATATTGCTTGAGATAATCGAGAATATTTTGTGCCCACTTCTGAGTTTTTATGTCATTCACTAATCGTTTTTGTGTCATTTCACGTAACTTTGAATCTGATACGTTATTTTGGGGTATAATATAGCTAGAATAGATTCGACCAATTTGCGCAGTTCAATCACAGAGGCTTACAGCTATCCCTGATCTTTCTCGAGTTTTGATTCTATTATATATTAAGCGTTTTCTTTTCTTTCGACAATAAATACTTAATGAGCAGTGCGTATTCTGAGGCTTGTCCCTGGAACATATTTTTCTGGCCCATTCCCATCCAATCCCATAACAATTATGCCTGTCCCATCCTATCCCATCCCATGGGATTCCAATCAGAATAAAATTCAATAAAAATTGTTAAATTTAGGTTTTTCGTTTACTAAATAGGACTACATGCACAAAAAGACATGCAAAACAACAAAATTTACGGACTTTGTTAACTTTATATTCATGAACATTATACCCGTGTCCATCAGCCCCTTCGCGCTAATATGAATGAGTTAAAAAATTATGCGGCTCTCACATATTTCCATACTTGCTGTATGCGGCTCTTATACTAAAAAAATTTGCCCACCCCCTAGTCCAGTATTTTGTTTATCTTTTATTTTTAATTTTACAAATATAAATTAGTGTAAAATATGAGCCAGAAAATTCATTTCTGATTCCTCAGATGACGTACAATATGGCCAATATCCAACCACTGGGTCTTCAAATTTTCAAACTCAAATAGTTTCGAAGCAAATATATCACGACGGCAATCATTTACGAAGTTGTCAATTCTTTCATCAGATAGTTATCATCCCTTCGATTACGATGTGTAGTTGGCGTGAATTTTTTAAATATATTGAAACCATAGAATCTGTGAAATATTTGTCAAAATGTGGTTAAAAGTCCAATCTACCACATCGGCTGGAATTGAGCAATCTTCAATATAACTTTAACTTATTGTAAAATATATTACAAATAACACTCATTATGAAATACCAGAGCAGATCAAAATTAGATAGATACCTTTTGTTATTCTCAGCTTGCTGGACTGTATCTGGCATTTTCACTCCGAGTGTTTCCGGAATGCAAATAATAACAATTATTCCACTCAAAATAGTTATCCCACCCATTATCCAATAAGGTATGGAGTATTCAATTTTACCTGTTAAAATCAAATTGCGTGTTCTGTTACTTACAGTGCCTAATAAGTAAAAATCACTTCGATCAAACCAGTGGAGTAGGTTTAATATTATGTCATCACGTACAAACGTCGGACAGAAAAAAATATTATAAGGAAAGATCATGTTAATTCAGAACTACATAAACAATAAATAATGAAAATCTGAACCAAGTCGAATTTCGGAAAACAGCATCATACACTACGATATTGCTGTACTTACTCAGAAACATTACAAATGGTGCGATAAACGCCCCAACACGACTACAGAAGGATGCTATGCTCATTGATGCACTTCTCTGTGGAGTGGGAGCTATTTCGGACGTGCTCAAGAAGATGATATAAAATACTGCGCTTACGGCACCTTTCCCGATTATTGAGATTATTGTTCTGAGCGTGGATAGTTCTAAATTTGACAAATATTGTAATAATAAATTCAGTAAAGACTTTATTAGATACTTCAATATGCTAACTGAAGCAAACAGTTTCCAATCGATACAATTGCCGGATTTGAGCTTTCAGGTAGCCTATTGATTTTCAATCATCCATATATATGTAATATATGAGAGTTATTCTCCAATTACAACGAAGCAGAAAATCATTCTCAAATTGATTTCATGGAATACTCAACTAACAACGTTTTTCAAGCCCTATGTATCCAACATAAACTGAACGTCTTGAACTATACACATTTATGTGCTGCGTGACAAAATGCTAATCGAGGACCAATATAATTGACAATAAGTTTTGTCATGCCACGTGCTTCGCAACAACCAAACCTTAGATACAATCATCATCATTCACCATTGAAACAAAACATCACATAGGTGATTTCATACGCAGGTTTAATTAAATATATATATTTCATATTTGGGACTATAAAGTTGGATATCGTTTTTTTTGCGCAAGATTCGTTGCAAATTGATTGTTTTCCAAACAAGAACGCAGCCCGCTGTGTAAATGCTGCCAACAGTGGAACGTTTAAACAGCTAACTAGGTAAAAGTATTTATTCGTAAACATATAACAAAATCTAACCTTCGGGTAAATATGGTAAAATAATGGTGAAAACTCCACAAGTTAGCAGAAAAAAGATAGTGGATCTAGGGCGACCGATCATGTTAACAGCATAATAACCACAAAGATATGCAGGAAAGTCAGCAAATGCGCAATACAATATATTCAGGTAGCGATCATCACTGAAGCTTTTTGAGTGGAACGCTATTGCATAGTAAACGAGACCTGTCACAAACCTTGAGAAAATATAAAGCAAATTAATATTATGTAGTATTAGATAGATTGAAATTCGATTGCAATGGCGAAACCTTCAATATCTCGAACCTGATATTCCTTTACAAGACCTTTCTATCAGGATATTGTGAGCGGTGTGATATCAATGACGTTTCTGCAAAACTCCTGTTTTTAATTTCTACTTGGACTCCCATCCTCGGACGCAATGGCAATACGGTAGGTAGTGATTGGAATATATTTTTACTGCAATTATCAATTTCAATTATTGCTCGGCGTAAAATTATTCAAATTTCATTCATCAATTTATATAGACAAAACATTTTACTTACCATGCAAAAAAAACAGACAGGAATCTGTAGGTTAATGTAGATTTGAAAATTATGCGAAGCGTCTCTATTAGCCCTGAGGGTGATGCCGTTATTTCACGAGAACCAGCTGTATGTGTCTTAATTAAAGTACAAAGTTTTGTGAAAACGAGCTTCTGAGGCGTTAATAGATTAGTAATAAGAAAATATTAAACTGCTGTACTTTTCTCAATCTTTCGAAATTAACCTTCTTTCGGTTCATCTTTGCCATTTTGTTCAGTCCTGCGATTGCAGCATTTGTTCTACCAACTGTTGATAGCCAACGTGGTGATTCGGGAAACAACCTGCAAGGTATTATGTAAATGTGCAAAAAAGGAAAAAGTATTGTGATGATTTTAAAGTTAATCTGAATTCATGTTGTAAATCGCTACTTTTATATGAATAGTTTTTTTGATAATGTTTGAGTTATTGTGTGAAGAAAACTAAATTTGGCGATTTTAATGCAGGGGTTTTGTTTTAAATTCGAAACTGGAGTAAGAAGCAAGAATGAAAAGCAGGCATGGTACCAATGTAGGGTTTTAAGATAACTAGAATGCTAAGAAGATGAGACATTCTCCCAACACCATATTGCTTGAAAAAAGTGATATTAAAAAATATGGGAAATGAGGATTAACAATAGTGAAATTAACGTTTTCTTCCAAACAACCATACATTTACAACAGTTTAAGCAGAAGAAGAGCTGAATGTTAAAATGAAAACAAAAGCAATAGACATAGTTAGTGTAGGAAGAGTGATAAATTGCCAAGTGTTACTTATTACAGACATACATACCAGTAGCCCGGTAGATATAGAAAGACACTGAGTACCATGGATACCCAATTGTAACTTGTAAGTACGCCAGTTTTGCGCATAATATCCAATGAAGGGAACAATAGCATATCCAATGGAAAATGAATACATTGAACTAACGGCCATAAAATTTCTTGACTCAATCGAAATAACTTCGGTCACTATAAATAAAATATTGTGAAATTTAATACAAAAATACAAACACACTGATGCACGTTTAGAAATAAATCTTACCTAGTACAAAAGCAACAACAAAATTGATGAGTCCTGTCATCCCAACAAAATAAACAGCAACCAAATATGAATAGAAATCCCAAGAAGCAGCCGTAATACCCATGGATATTATCTGGGCCAAAGACGCAAACAAGTAAACTGGCCGTCTACCATACCTTTAAAATTTGGCAATATTGATTACACGTTATTATTTACATCACATAGTCTATTAAAAGAAATCATAGCAGTTCTTTAAATGAGTTTATTCCTCGAGTGGTTAATATTTTCGATATAGTGCACATTGGCGAATCAGCGAATGTACGAATATACCTGTCAGCAAGTATGCCAACTATTGATCCACTTGCCACTCCCGATTGAAAAACTGTAATTGCTAAAGGTTCTTTCCAATCATTGTTGCAAACCATTTCAAACTGGAAATTAGAATATAGAAATTTAATTTTTAGTTGAGTATATAAAGAGTACAATTTTAAATAAATATCACATACCTCAGTAACTGCAGTATCATGATTCGGCAACATATCAAATATATATCCTTTCGTACATGGTATGATGTCAACAGATTCATTGAAGTTTATGAGAGACAATGCCTTAGAATAATTTCTGTGATACATGTGGCAATTACTTTTACTTACCTTTCCATAATTATCGGGTTCCATGGGTATAAAAAAGTCGAACAGATTTTCATTACTGTTTGAGTTCTGAGAAAAAGATTCAATTAGTTATTAAAGTTGCTTGTGTGAGAATAAAAAAAAATATTGAGTCAAATTGGTATGTAATTTATAACATTTCGGTACTTCTTGAATTTCAATTCTGCCGAAACGTAAGTTTAGTCCTAGTCTAGGACAAATGAAATTCGTTGCTTAATAACGAGATTTGCTAATGGTTGTATGTCACATGTCGGAACTTACGTTTTTCAATATGTTTTCAATTTCATCAGATAATCTACATCGATGGCTTGGTTGGAAATGGATGATGGCAAACTGCAACCCCGTAAAAGCATTTGGCAAAGAAGCGGCCATCACAATGATAAAAATCACTGTTTGGTAACGTCCCCACCTCCCCAATTGATGGAATGCTTCGTCGATATTCATTTTCTTATGTCATAAATTGTATACTAAAGTCAACTAGCTATTGTGATGAAAAAGATTTATCTAGAAATATCAGAATGTACATACGGTAACGGTAGTGATTGTTTAAATTTAAATATTCACTCTATTAAAAAGATACACATAATGTATACATTTTAGATGCAAGTAATATACAGTTCTAGTGCATCGACGCTCAGGAAGTAAATTCTTCAGAAATTAAAATAAAGTAAACTCATTGAAAAGAAAACGAGAATATCGGCCGGAGACCGAAGACTTATCGATCGAAACTGCGGGTTCGATTCATGACTCTATAGTGACACCGCGTGTCCCATCACTAATTAATTAATAACTCGCTAATTATACGACATAATGCATCCAATCAATAGGCTTCTGATCCGAGATATGATGAATGCACATGCAAAATTTGGAGCAGATTCAACCTCGCCTTCGTGAGATATCGCGTTCATCTAACAGACAAACAAACGAACAGACAAATACCTATCAACATACTTACCGATCTTAAGATCGATAAGTAACAAATAACAAATTTTTGAATATGGACGCACATTCTGTATCCGACACACGACTGTGTTATGGAAGCATTCGATGTTCGGGAGAGGTGATGGGTCAGAAGAAAGTAAGCAAACTATGGAACAATACGAAGCTCCTCGGCGAGCTCAAAGTTGTATTTATACTAATATGTATATAAGATGCATTTCCATTAATAATCATTTATTATACTGCCGCTACGATAAAATGCTAGACTTTACACCACAAACTACGTCAACTATGTACGTTCTTCTACAATGTTAAACTCGCATAAGAGCCTAGTTTAGCGTGAGCTTATGTATCTGCAAAGCGTTCACAGGTTACCACCTACTTTACCCAAACATCTAACTTTCTTTTAAATGGTCTTTCCTCCTTCACTGGAATGTTTTAACTTCGTTGAGCGTTAAACTTTATAAAACTCTCTAACGTGAACAGTAAGTATACTGAATGGCGAAATAACGGTTGATTATCTATACAAAATACGCTGTGCAAAGTTGATATTTATATATATAGTTAATATATATATAATATTTATTAACTGCATTTCCAAAAGTGCTAATACGAAGTATGAGAAAGTCTGCAGAAGCACAGTGTTTTTGTTGTAAACTTTAGTCAGCATAGAGTTAGGAATGAATTCTTTTTCAACACGTGATCGAAGTATATTCAAGTTTCTCAAACATCTAATATATATTGATCAAAGGATTTCAGTTTATATCTAAATATACAACATGTCCAATTCTTTGCTTATGCAAAAATACCCGAACTCCTGATATTAAGTCGCTAATAGGCATTAAGTATAATCGATGTTACTAAATCCATCCACAGTGAAACACATTATGATATTTGGAATTGCAGTAAAAAAAAAAATTTTTCCCCGAGACTACACTATGCATTTATTGTAATTCATGTGCATGACGCTTTATCAATATTCCCAAGCATCAAACATTACCAAGAAATAGAAAATAAGAAACTGTGGGAAATTTTTGGTAAATCTTGGCCAAAAGCGATAAAGGTTATTATAATTTGCTAAAAAGATCCATAGTATGTTTTACATGATGAAAGATTTATTAACATCTTGTATTGCAAGAAATACTAAAATACTACAAACTACCAGTCAAATGAGCACATTTTGTTACAGTATGTTGATTGTCACTCCTTAATATTTCTATATTATCAATGTTTGTAGGTTATAATGTTCATAAATACACATATGTGCAATACTTTATTTTAACGCCTTTCATAGAAGAATGGCTGCAATAAATTTGCAAGCGACTGAAAAATATGTGACTTACGTGGCCTATTATATTTCTTACTACTTGCAATACAAACCTTAACTTCATTTGATAATCATTTTTAACGAAATTCACATCAATGAATAAGGTGATGATGTGCTATCGGTTGGGTTTCTACAAGACTAACTACTTCTCCGTCTTCTATGCTTTTACGCCAGTGGATCCGTATGTATATAACGCAAGGATACTGTAGCAAAAGTGAAGATAACTATCCTAAGTGATTCAAGAGCCTTGTTGCACACTATCACAAATATATTTTTATAACGTTTCGTCTGACCAAAGTCAGACTTCCTCAGACATACATAGTTCAACTTAATACAACCAAATACTCCAAGGAAAATGACAGAAATATATTAACATTTGACGTCAATGACTTTTGCATGCGCTTTGGATGTCTTGTTACTGCACTCTTTTTATTAGTGCCAAAAGCCTCGTCACATCCACTTCTGAATATAGTGTACTATTTTCAATTTTACTGGCGTATTTTAGTCCCAATGAATTGACTTGGTAATTCATTTTGAGGTTAATGGATCTTTTGTACAAGACCCATTAACTTGTAGATCAATGCATATGAATATCGAATGCTGAGCCGATTGTATTGTAATCATGAATATTGGTATTTCATCATCTCATAGAATTCGTCTACAACCTTAAAAGATCGTAATCCGTCTACTTCCATCTGAACGTAATTTAAAATTTTAAAATCAATTAAAAATTTTCTCTATCACAGAAAAAGGGAATTCCGAATTTCCGATTGCATCATATACGTCAAGTAGAATTCCCACAAACCTAAAAGTCAGATTAGGTATGTACATACTGGCTCGCAGAAATGCCGTATTTTTGTTTGTTGTGCAATACCCAGAATACTGTAAATTTATTGTGCGCCTTAGCTTGTTTCAAGCAAGATTTTAGATCGTCACTGATGTAATTTTGTAGCTGATAAAGCATTTTAACCTGAAAGCGACCCGCGGTTCACAAGCTTGACACCCCTGTCATAGATTTCATGCAGAACCCGGCTATGTCACTTACTTTTTTGTTATATCTTGGTTTTTTGACTGACTTCTTGAATGAAACAAAGAAAATAATGGTAAATTGCATCAATTTTAATAAATATAGCCTGACATGTGTTTACTACTACTGATGTCTAAACAATGTGATAAAGCGCGGAGAGTCACAATTGCTGGATGGGCTGCTAAGTGCTATGACCATCGGTACACGTAGCAACCGCCCTTAATTACGATCGTTACATATGTAGAACAATTTTTATACGAAACGCCAGTTCACAAAGTTAACAATTTCCTTCTCCGCGTAATTAAGCTGTTGTTTGTATTCGACTGGAATTTTTTAAATATATTGAATCCATAATATATTATTTGCAAAATATTTAGTAAAAAATGAATAAAAACGCCGCATAAAACTCATTGAAAACCACTTAATAACCACATAAAATATAAACACGCGCTATTGATATGTACCGTTTGTTACTTTAGCTTGTTGAATGTATCTGGTATTTTCACTCCCATTGTTTCCGGAACGCAAATGATACCAGTAATTCCGCTCAGAATTGTTATTCCATCCATTATCCAGTTAAGTATGGAATATTGAATTTTGCCTGTATAAAGAGAGTAAATGTATTTGAAAATTTTTGGATTACCCAATTAACAATTGATGAAAATTGCTATGGAATAGAACATTTGGGTATTGATGAAACTTTTATTAAATTGAAATGTAATTGGCTGTTCATGGCGTTTCGGTAGTGGGGCGTTCAGCCGAATTAGTAAGTTTGGAATGCAGAATCTTTCGCTACAAATGACTGAGAATATGACTCAGCAAGACGCGTATGGCGTCGTAACGTAAACTGATGTCATCCAAAGATCAAAGCAAAACTATATTCTAATCTAGATGTTGCCAAATGACGTTTTGATCAACGCTACAATTTGGGACGTGCACTACTGGGTGTTGTGGCATATAACGTCAGTGTCAATGCTAGCGCAGGGATGAATCTATACTGGTATAACGACTTCTGTCTTCGGGTAGATGGGATGTATGGCTATCCACGACAATCTCGTTCCATAGGCCTAAACGTCATTTTTATTTGCGAAATTGCAAGGGGCACTTGTCTCACCTAATAGATGGTATGTACAGCAATATGCCGAGAAATATTTATCAACAATGAGTACAAGATTAAGATGTAGGTCCTTACTATTGTTGTCTGTGAGGTTTTCGAAAAGGAATATATATACTCCAATAAAACGATACAAATATTTAAATGTCTTCGCAAGTTATTGTCGAAAACGCCAGTCAAAGTTCTGTCTTCAATCAACTCATCTTTGAGACCACCAAATTCACAAGACTTGGTTTTATTTTACAAGTTTGACACAACAAATTGAATAGATTCCTATGGCATCCGTGATATCAGGTTTAATTAATATCTTGTTAGTCTTAATTTGACCTAGGAAGGCATATTTCAGATAATAATCTACATTAGCATGTTTTGTTAGCAAGGTTAACGAGGTGGAGTTTTTTTTCAATTTCGACAAATTAGTTGATAGAATTTAAAATTGATTTCATTTTAAAACAAGCAATTTGAATACAAATTGAAAAAATAGTTCACAACTGAATCCGACCCCGCATCCAAAAACATTCCATGCCAACATTGCCAAGTATTATCTCCGTCTCAAGGTTAAACTTATATAATTTATATATGTATAACTAAATATTTGGATACAACCAGGACACAAAGCACTGCATACGTCGGTAAAATACGTAAACACTAAAACAAACCAAGTACATAGATTCGTGGATGGATGGATTGTTTACAAAGTGACAGTAATCAATGAACTCGTTATTGTTTTAGCAGGGGTGTGGAAACTTCGGCCCGTGGGCCAAATGAAATCAGCAAGGAAAAATTGTGCGGCCCGCGGAATAGTGCCAATTTTGAATGATATGTCGGCGAAACGAGTTTCTATAGTTAGTTAATCTGATACGTACAAGCAATTCCAATCTCTATACCACTACATGAGTGCCACTGTCAGCAAAATACACAAAGTTATACGAACATGTTTCTCGCTGAATTCTTCTAAAGTCAATGTGATATAAATTCAAATAGCAGTTTTCTT